TATGGTGGTCAACCAATATTAACTAAACAGGAGGAAGAGGAAATAAAGAAAGGAAATAGCTGCGGAATGGGGTTTCCCTTTAACCCGATTTGATACTCAACAAATTGTAAAAATACTGAACAGGCCGATTCTATGATCAAAACTAAGTAAAAAAGTTCATATGAACATGGGTCCGGAAATGCTTCCTAAGGGCACAGGGACCCATTGAATAGGGAAGAATGGAAATCATTTTTTTGCAATATCTCTCAATCGTGTTGTGATAAATGAATGAAATTTGGTATACACAGCTAATTTTGATGAGCAATTTAATGGCCTAATCCATTTATTTCCACAAGGTCCATTGGGGTGGGTACGGGGGGCCCTTGGTACTTTGCGTGTGTAACTTTTTCATCTTTGACTTTTTAACAAATTGGACAGCAAATTCCGTTTTCCCGAACTGTTTTACGTTAAAAAGGTACTCTTGTTTCAAATCGTTATCTTTAACGGTTTCTGAGAAAATCGCTCTTGAATTAATCCCACTTTGGTCAATTTCATAGTAATTTAAACAAAAAATAATAATAATAATTTAATACGTAATCAGTAATACACATTATTGATGTAGAACAATTATGATATGATGATTTGTTTATGGCTTTTGCGATGGTAATGCTGCGCGGCAGAACGCGAGTACGGCAGAAGGTTTCCAAACAGAAGGCTGACATCAAGGAGGACATTCCTCACTGTATTCCGCAATTTAGCTGCAACCGTCACTTTTCGAAGGGATCATAAGATGGAAACTTAATTTTGATAACAGACAACAAGCTATTTTAAAAACTGTTCAAAAAACCCTCCACCTTCTCTGATACAAAGTCTTGCCCTACGTGTAACACTTCTCGAAGCTATTAAGATGCTAAAACGGTTTTGACGAATTTCATTGGCTGCATCATTGATACGCTGCAGCAATTCCTCACGGGTATCGACTTCGGTGGCGTAAACTTTTTGATTTAGATATCCCCAGAAAAAGAAGTCCAGCGGGGTTAGGTCGGGAGAACGCGGCGGCCAAGCTACCGGTCCGTGCCTCCCTATCCACCGTCCAGCGAAATTTTCGTTTAGGAAATTTAGAACATTGCGACCACTATGTGCCGGGGCTCCATCGTGTTGAAAAAACATGTTACGTCGTAAATTTAGAGGCAGATCATCGAGAATTTGGGGAAGATTTTCTTGAAGTAAGTTTAAATAAAGATTTGAATTGAGACGTTGTGGAATTTCAATAGGTCCAATCAGAGTGTCGTGAATTATTCCCGCCCATAAATTTATGGAAAACCGTTGCTGGAAGTTTGTTCTCCGAACAACATGTGGGTTCTCTTCTTCCCAATAATGAGAATTATGAAAATTTAATTTTCCATTTCGGGTAAAAGTAGCTTCGTCACACCACAAAATTTTGGAAGCTTGCTCGTTGTCCAGCGACAAAATCCAGCGACAAAATTGCATACGTGGCGCAAAATCTTCTGGTATCAAGCCATGTACACGTCGATAGTGATAGGCATGTAGACCTTGTCGCTTTAATATTCTTCCAACCTGAAATGTTAGTAGCACATCTAATCAATTCTGTTAAGGAAATCTTTAAGATATGTAGTACCGTTGGCCGAGGAACATTTATTTGCCTTGAAATGTTCCGTATGCTAGTCGTAGGATCTTGTTCAATAGCGTCAAGGACCTCCGCTTCCCTATTAATCCTGGGACGTCCTTGACCCGGTGCCTTTCGAAAAGTGGCGGTTGCAGCTAAGTTGCGGAATACCGTAGGGAATGTCCTCCTTGATGGCAGCCTTCGGTTTGGAAACCTTCTCCCGTACTCGCGTTCTGCCGCTGCAGCATTACCATCGCAAAAGCCATAAATAAATATCATATCAACTAACTCTTGTCCCGTAAACTCTTCCATTTTTTTCGCTTAGAACTATTAAATTGGCAATCGGGTTGACAATACTTTGACATAAGAATACCTTGATAATTTTGTTTAAATTACTATGAAATTGACCAAAGTGGGATTAATTCAAGAGCGATTTTCTCAGAAACCGTTAAAGATAACGATTTGAAACAAGAGTACCTTTTTAACGTAAAACAGTTCGGGAAAACGGAATTTGCTGTCCAATTTGTTAAAAAGTCAAAGATGAAAAAGTTACACACGCAAAGTACCAAGGGCCCCCCCGTACCCACCCCAATGGACCTTGTGGAAATAAATGGATTAGTCCATCAAATTGCTCATCAAAATTTAGCTGTGTATACCAAATTTCATTCATTTATCACAACGCGATTGAGAGATATTGCAAAAAAATGATTTCCATTCCTCCCTCTTCAATGGGTCCCTGTGCCCTTAGGAAGCATTTCCGGACCCATGTTCATATGAACTTTTTTACTTAGTTTTGATCATAGAATTGGCCTGTTCAGGGTTGGCAGCTAATTATGAGACACCCTGTATATTTGAACCGATCTGGCAAAAAAAATACCAATATTTCACGAAAACACGCCTGGAATAAAAAACATATTCTGTTTTTATTTTTACTGATTTATTTTTCTAAAGAAGTGCTGTTATTTTTATATTATTATTATTATATTTATATTATTAAACGGATAAATAAATGCTTTCCAGTTGAAATGTATTATATATGATTATTTTCACACTATCCCCTCCTTACTTTTACCCACCTAACTTAGTAAAATATATATATATATATTTAGTTTTTAGTGTCCGAATTTTATGTATTAAGTAAAATTTTTCATACAATTAAAACCTTGTCCGAACTCATACTACACACAGTGGTGAGTTCGGATACATTTTAACCAAAAAAGTTGCAAAAAAATATTTACATATACAGCCCGATAGTGCAAGGTCAATAGATGTAAATAAATTTTTTCAAATTTTTCTAGCAAAATAATTTTGCATAATTTTACAAAAACCGGCTATTTGAAACTCTCTCCACAAATGTAAACAGAAAATTTAAAATGTTCAAATTAAGTTTTATTGCCATAACATTGTCTATAAAAGACCAGAACCGGTGCATAACAGCAAAATAATGAATCACCGTGTCCCAATCGGCAGGGAAAACACAGCAAGGCAAAATTTATTTTGATGTCGTCACTGACGTTTGTCTCTATCTCTGTTTAAACATCGGATGTACTTAGGATATTTCTCTCAATCCGAAACTCGCTAAGAGATCACCTTCAGAATATCATGCTGAGGATAGCCGTTGGCAATACAAAATGGCTTTTTTTGCGGCCGAGTATGGGAGCGAGTGTTACTTACAGCATTTAATATTTAAAAACCTATTAGTGTTTTTTAAATTACTATTTGTACTCAGGCCTGTAATATTATGTAATACTAGAAAAATCGGCAAACTCCGCTGACGCGGAGTTAACCTTTTTCTCGGGCCTTCGGTCCTCGAGCCACACTGCGGGCGACATGAGCACCTCTGCGCGGTGTTTTCCTTGCCGGTTGGTAAATATAAAATTTTTTTAAACACCCTGTACTTTAGTTTTTTAACACTCTGTATATATAAGACATCGATATCGTAACTTCATAATTGTCTCCGGACCGTTCGAAGTTCAATGCAATATTTTTAGACATCCTGTGTATAACAACCTATTTGAAAAGATATATATTTTTATTATGGAAATATTTGAAAAGAAAACTCCATAATGAACGTAAAATATGTCAATAAGTAAGAGAAAATTCAGTGATCTCGTGCGAGATTTGAACCGTCGACCTCCGGGTTGCAACGCCACACTTTTACCGTTGAGCCATCATCACCTCTATACAGAGCTTGTCCGTATTGGTATTTGAATTCCCGTTCATAGCCGAAGTAAACAAAAAGTTTTGTATGTATGTTAAAAATTACATTTTTCTGCTGTAAAATCGACAGCAAAGGACTCGGAGCGGTATAAAACGCATAAAAATAATCGTTCATCGCCATACTGGAGCCGCAGGCATTGTCGGAATTGGAAAATTCAGTTTTGATCATTCTAAGGTTTCTCTGCGGTGACAGTTTGTGTCAAAATATTTTTAATCTCGTCTTAAATTTTGTTACATTTGACCTAATAAAAGTTGAGGGCGACATAGATGAGAGAGAACGATGCGACGCAACACCGGAAAGGTGTCCCGGTAGCGTACAGGGGACATCTTCGCATCACGGGAGCGGACCGTACACAAAGAGAAAAGTTCCGGGAACGTCGGCAGTATCCATAAAGAAAAATATGACGCCACGAAAATTGCGTTTTGGGCGAAATAATCCGGGCTTTACGAAAATATTGGGGTTCTTCGAGAGACGCAAGGTGCAGAACATTTTTAAAATGCAAATTTCAGCGTTAAAAAGTAAATATCCCGCTGCAAAAATACGCCTAAGCTACGAAAAAAGAACGAAACTCGCGTTTTGGAGACGAAAAGCTGAGCGAACCCCCAATCGGTCCTCGAAAAAAAGCCTTTAGTATTTTAAATCAACCCTCAAAACGTCCATTGGTAGGCGTTCCCTTCGGGTTCTGTCTCTCTCCCACAACAAAAATTTGCGTTTTTGGCCGCGAAGTCCCCGGAAAAATGAAATTTCACTCAGGAGACGTTAAGAAATCGCCTTCAAAATATGCCAAACAGATAAAGGAAGGACGGTGGCCACTCGCCGCTGCGCGGCTCGCAAACAGAACCTTAGTGTATGCAAAATGCCCCTATTTGGAGATCGATGCGGGAGTGAAAACCACCTGCAGCAATTAATATATCGGAATATAACAGGATGTTTCGAAATTTGTTTACAAGCTTTTGTGGCAGATTGATGGTCCTTAAAGAAATAAAAAAGTTCTTATGAACATTGGTCCAAAATTAAAGCCAAGATAGAAAAACTGACACAGTATTGAATAATATTTTCATAAATATATCTGAGAGCATATGTAACACCTTGTGCAGTAAAAAATCTACTTTAACATATATTAAAGGCTAATTATTAAGACTGAAACATTTAAACAATCAGTAAACAACTCACCTGTTTCTCTAATCCCGGGTGATTCCAGCATGGCATCTGCTAAGTCCTCCTTGAGTTGTAGTTCACCAGCACCACCCACTTCCTCAAAAGTTCTCTGATATGTATCTAATAATGATTGTTCGCAACTACTTGCTGAACTTGATTCTATTAAAACTGCGTTAGCTTTGGTAATCGGCATATTTACTGGCTTTGAATGTCCGAGATCGATGGGTTGAGCCTCCGTCAATGACATTGGAGATCTGAAATAAATAATAATGATATATTTACCCTTCATTTTAATAACAAAGATTAAACCAATGGTTGGAATTGTGTGAGAGAGGGGGTAGTATATTATTATTATTATTCAGTAGGATTTATTTGAGAATAAAAATAACACATTAGTAAACCCTAGATACCATTACTAAAATAAACGTAAAATGCCATTCTTTTTTTGCTGAATAATTAATGATTAGTTAGTTTTTTTGCCAGTTTATCACCGAATTAACATATATCAGGTACAAGTCAACTTGTATATTCCAACTGTGTAAACAATGATGTGCGGCTGTAAAACTATTCAACTATTGGTCGAAATGGACTGACAAGAGCGGAGTTCATATGGAATAACAGTTTTCATTTTTTATAGCTTTCATAATAGAAGATAATGCTTTTTTCATTTTTTTTTTTCTAGTTAAATTTTGTTTTTCTGATGGTTTCTGAGTAATTAATTTTCTTAGTCATAATCAACACATTTTTGACACAAATCTGATTCAATGGTCACCAAAAATTTGGTTTATTTTATAAAAAATTGAAACAATGCTTTGTGTAGTTCAGAAATTTACAGTTTAATGTTTATGCACAAAAAATATTGGACAAATCCACAATTTTCAGTAATATATGGGACATTTCATGTCAAACCGATCACCTTGCCTACGCAAAAATTAACTCGACCGATTTAGGCGTATAGGGTCTTAAAATGGTCGTCTGATAATAGGTTTTCAAATATGGCACCTAGAAAATTTACTCTTCATAGTAAATTTAGGAAAAAACATAGATAATATTTTCAAAAGTAGGGGAATATAACTCCAATGCATATATTAGACTGTTTTTGGGTCCGCTGATTACGAATCTATGATCGGAACAAATATGGCGGTAGAGGAACCTCAACTATCCTTCTTTGCAGCAAAAAATGATTACATCTCACATAAAGTAATGTCTGGAGTTTTTAGGAAATGAGATTACAAATGTACTACTTAAAATTCAAAAAGGCGAACCCAATATGACATACGAAGAACCTCGAATCTTCTCCTAGTCAGCAAAAAACGATTACAGATCACTTAGATCACTGAAAGGAAATAGTCTGGAGGTTCTTAGGAAGTCTGATTAGAAATTTGCCATTAGATTTTTAAAATTGAAGATGGCGGATTCAAAATGGCGGACATGTTCCTCAACTATTTCCCTTTGAGGTATAGAGGATAGTTTCACGCACCAACTATAATGGGACATGCGTTTATCCCACAATGAAATGAAACATTGACTATTAAGCGATACTCCAACACTTCAAAATCATTGTGAGAAATATGCTATGAACTCAATGTTACTCATTCATCACCACTGAAAATACCGTGAACAAGAAGTCAAAAGTTATAAAGCTGTAAAAATGATTATTAGCACCAGAATATCGATGGCGAGTTTTTTGGACATGGATTAGGTTTCTTACCTCAAAGGAGGGATAGTCGAGGAACAAGTCTGCCATTTTGAATCCGCCATTTTGAATTTCATATTTTCGATCATAAATTCATAATCAGAAGACCCAAAAACAGTTTAATATATGCATTGGGGATATATTCCCCCATTTTGGAAAATGTTGTCGATGTTTTATCTTAAATTTACCATGAAGAGTGAATTTTGAATATTTGATTCACCATATTGAATTTCCCCAAATGCCACTTTTTTTTGAAAACCTATTTTAAAGACGAACACGTTAAGGCCTTATACACTTAAATCAGTCGTCAATTTTTGTGTAGGTAGGGTGATCGGTTTGACGTTTTTTCAACATTCTACTTGGTCTTCTCGGTTACGTCTGTTGCGATGTTGACAGATAAATCGGTTCAGTAAATAACAGTGAAAAAATAATAAAATCTTTTTTTGGTTGGGATTAGTTAGTGATTACTCAAAAGTATTATGCCTGAGGCAATCTGTATAAATGCATGTTTCTCGAATAAATAGAGAGAGTTGGCAACCCTAGTATTTATAGTTGCTTGAAAAATAGTTCTAATGTACAAACTGCATCATATCTGACACAGCAATTTGCAATAAAATACAGAACCTTCATAAATGATTACAAGCCACAATTTTGTTTGGAACAATAACTTTATTTCCTTCACGTTAAAACCCAAATTCTGTATTACCGGCTGGTGATTGGTTAATTGTTGACAGGACTTTATTCGACCAATCAGTGATCGCATTATCTCGAGCATAGACCGAACATTTTGTCATTGGTCATTATAGACGAATCATTAATATTGGTGATTGGTGATTTAGGGATATTTTGTCGACAGTACCAGCCATTCAATGTTGGTTGTCTAATCTCAGCGATCACGTGGCTTGTAATCATTTTAGAAAGCTCTGTACTTTGTACCCTTTTTTGGCACAAAACAATTGAAATAACCTTTTCCTGTAAACAAAACTTAATCGTGCATATACTGTCGCAGAATGTTGGTTTTTTTCCTTAAAAATTTGTATTTTACTTTAATATACAAGTTTAACGTTGACTTAGTGTATGTATTCAGACTGTTGAGACGTCTGGTACTGAGACAATGGAGAGAGGAGCTCTGGAAATGCCATTCGTAGAACGAATCTTTCCATGTGTCGCAACCTTGCCAGAAGACATTACTGTTCTCGAGCGAGAATTGTTGGCCTTCACCATATCTTTGGAGGAAACCTCGTTCCTGGGATTCCCTAGGAAATCCCAGGATAAGAAAGAGTCGCGAGCAGTGCTCCCCGTAACGGAAGAACGGCCACGACGACAAGAGATGACAAATATAAAAAGTTAAAAATGCAAATTCTTACCCGGTGGTGGTGGTGTAGGTTTTAAAAGTGAACTGAGGTCCCATCCACAACCTCCTATGGGGTCCTGCGTGTGTAACTATCTCCACCTGGGACAGCCACTGATCATCGTTGTGATTAGGTTTATTTTTCTTCTGTGGCAGTTCTTGAGCAAAGAAATGAAGGTTCTCCTGAGTCATGGGTAGGGGGAGTTCTGGGGAATTAGGCTGCCTTTGTACTAACCATTGTGCTCTGGCACTCACAGCCAATTCAATAGGGGTATCACTACATACTTTTTCTTTGGGAACACTTGAGGACTGGTGCGGTTCGAGATCATATTGAACGAGAATCCCATAGCAAGACATGATGAACAGGGATTCTACGGGTTTCGACTGTTTGTTTATTGTTGTCTCTCTTGGAGGCATATCAATCCAAGCTCTCGGTGGAGCGAAGCAAGCCACAACCCGAAGGGCAATATTGTCTTCAGACGATGAAGATAGCCTTTGCCTTCCTAAAAATATAAAATATATTTATAATGGTTGATTGTGCAGGAAGTTACAATATTACATCAACGAAACTGCAGAAGATGATCCAACGTAAGTATTATCCCCATTATTTTCTTTCTATTTTTTTTAATGAGAAAAAAAATTGTAGAAAAATTTAAACTTTCAAAAAACCGTAAGTTGTGAAAATAGTGAATATCGTGTTACAGAAATACAAACCGAATATTGATTTTTTTTTTGTGGAATACTTTATTTCTATAAATTTTGATAGAACGATTTCTTGCAGTTATAGTGACAAAGGGTTGAAAGTAATTACTTGTAGTTTTTGCCAATTAAGCTTTTCATACACTTCCATATATCATAATTTAAACCAAGTTTATACTAACCTGGTTGAGTTCTTTGGGGAACATTTCCCATATTCGGCATGTTAACCGGTTGTCTGATTTGAGCAAGTGGATGAACTACAGTTGGATGTGGAAACGGTGGAAACCTTGGGTTGTGATAAGGATAATGCGAGTTCACCGGTGCTTCAAGTGCAGAAACTGGACTATTGGATCTTCCATCCACTGTTAAACCTAAAATAAAAAGGATTGTAAATCCATGTAATTTAAGGGAGAATATACGAGTACAAAAAAAAGTTTTTTCCGCTCATCTTAAAGTTTGTAGTCTTAAGAATACTGTGTGTAAATTTCATATTAAAATTCAAATAATTATGTAAATTATGGGCAATTTACCGGAACGCTGTCTGTAAAAATGTAATAAAATTTCCATGGTCGTGTTTAAAAAAATGAAGTTCATGATGGTCCTGGAGAGACGAAACGTTACATATAAAAATTGATTATGCCATTTGATAGAGGGCAAAAAGTGGCCTTGAGAAAGTGTTCTTCGTTTTTCAATATCTCCTCAAACAAGGCTAAATTAAACAAAAACAGATTTCCAAAATTTCGTTTTTTTTCAAATATTTCGAAAACTAATTATGTTAGCCTTGACTTTTTAGAGGCATATTGTTGGTCCCCTGATTACGCAACTTTGCCCCCATTGAAGCTACTTCGTAGCTCTTACCGTTTCCGAGATCCCTGTAGTGAGAAGCGAATTTGTAACAGTCTGTATGTTTGCGTTATATTAAAATTTGTGTTATTTTTTGTTTAAGTTGTATGATTATATTGTATTTTATTTTTACATCATGTTGCACCTTTTTTATCATCTCTCTTTTAGGCAGACACCTCTCTTAAGCAGACAAAAATAATTTGACCATTGATGTCCGCTTAAGGGAGATTTCACTGTATATTAAAAAAAATATATGAAATATTTACTCATGCAAAAACAGAAAGAGAAAACACTTGAAAGTTCAGATCTTTCTGATAATAAAAAAATTAATTCTAAGGTAACTCACAAAAAAATATAAGCATGTGCTTGTAAGAAATTTCTTTTAAATGTAATATTTCAGTTATTATCAATATAACGCCCTATATATTAAAAAAATGAAACCCTCTAGTAGGTTAATGAGGAAACTTCAAACAATAGTAAGTTTGGTTATGTGTTAGGTAAATCACGTTACTTTGATCCCAAGAATCTGTAATAGTTCTATGTAAATAGATTATCGAGACACCCTGTATAGCTTTTTTAAACCACATACCTGCAGATCTGTGAAACCTAGACATCTTGTTAACCACGTGGGGAGTAGCATGTGTCCGCACGCCCACGTTACCACCATAGGGCGTTACCGGGAACACGTGCGTCGTTCCTCTGATAGTCGAAACAGTCGCCCATCGAGAATCTGGTGAGAAACACATATCTTGCACTCGGGCAGATGTATCTCCCCTATGTAAAACATAAAGATGATGTACAGCGGCCAATGCAGGACCACCTGGATGGGGCTGTATTCTGAATAGGTGAAAATCGTGACCACGTTTGTCAGCCGTCAAAAGTAGCATTCCGCTCGGATCAAACTGTAAACAGACTATGGCTTCCGTGTGGGCAGTGAAATGTGCTACTACGGCATCTATATGGATAGATTTCTCTTTACTTTGTGCAACCGTATTCTAAAAAAAGAAATTTAATAAAATAACAATAAAAATGATATATTTTTTTAAATGTTCAATTCTAAAATATCCAATTAAAGATATTATGACTTACCTCAATGTCTAAAACTGTTACAATGCCCTTTTGTGGAATATCAGATAGGCCTCCGGCTTGTGGGCTATTTGGAGAGGTGCCTGGTTTAAAGTTTGTATTTCCTGTTAAACTACTAGCAACACTTTCACCTAATTCCCTTAATCCCCTACCCAAAGATTTTGCAGCTTGAATGACAGTAGCTGTGTAGCTCTAAAAAAAATTTATTGCTATACAGGACTAAAACAGGATGTCAAAAATGAAGAATTTTTCCCATTTGAATTTAACAATTTTTTTACACAAACATTTGCCTTGTCCTTGTTTTTAAGACACAGAGTGTTAAAGTTTCAAAAAATAATATTTCTAAATTCCTGATACACAAATAAAGATATTAATTACAACATTTTTTATACTCAAAAAAAATTAAGTCTCAACTCAAAAATATTTTGAGGTTTACTCAGCCCATGCTTCCTCTGAAAAAACGCAACAGGATGATAATATTTTGCTCAAAAATTACACCACACCACCGGAAAGAAAATTGTAATTTTTTAAATATAAATTTTAATTTGAAAAATAATTTAGTCGTTTTTGAAAAACTTTTGCCATTTTGTTAAGCAATTTCTAATAATATGTTTTACAATTTTTGTTGCTACACATATATTCTTATTTTATTCATGTGTTTTGCACACAAAATTTCATTTCTTCAGAAGAAATTTAGACATTTTTTAAATATTTTAACACGTTTCTCAAAAACGAGGACTTTTACATAAAAATTGTTTTTTATACCCTTCTAATACCCAGAATAATAAATTAATAAACCTAAAAATGTATATCAACAAAAATGAACTTACATGAACACCTTCTCCATCATTACCACCACTACTACGTTTTGATGGATTTAACTTTTTCTCAGCATAAGCCATCCATCTTGTACCAAGAGTAACTGGATTTGGTTGTAATCCAGGACTTAAGTAACATGTTGTGACAGTTAGTCGATCTTCAAGAGTAAATGCGTCAAATACTGCTATTTTTTCTTGAAACGTTACGACAACAGAATGTTTGTTAGCCAAAACATCCAAGACTGGATTTTTGAATTTTATAACTTTCACCTAAAAATATGTCAAGCATTAATAATAAATTGAATTAAAAGTAAATTGTGTTACTTTGGCCGTCAACAGCTTATTCTAATTTTTTTCTAACAAAAATATTTACCTGTTCTCCTGTCTTTAAAGATAAAAAGTTTATAGAACTAAAATGTGGACCTGGTGTAGAATTATCAGAAAGTGCTATAAGAGGCCTTTTTGTCTTAAATACATCTTCATTCTTTGTGAAACCAACATAGGAAGGAGTAGGTAATATTTTCAATACTCGAACAGATCCATGCCTCCATGACAATATTTCTGTAGCCTCTCCAGTAGCTGGTATTGCCCATATCTGCAATTTGAAAGGAATATTGTTAAATCCCCTTGGTTAATTTTTTTTTTAGAAATATTAAACGGCTCAGATTATTTTGTTAGTTACACTTGAAATAGTAAATACCAACCTGTATTCCTGTAGTGTATCCTAGAATTAAAATTATTACTGACGGTGCAATCTTATCATATTCGTAATCAGAATATATTTGTTGATCCAATTCTATTTGTTCGAAACGGGCCCATTGTATTTGGTCTTTGGAATCGCAGGGTCCGCTATATGTGGCCGGGACAACCTCGTTTATGAATCCAGCGACACTGTCTAATATAGTTGGGTCAGTCACTTGCTGCGGTGTCACAGTATTAGATCCACTGGATCTAGTCTGTGATGGTGAACGACTTGCAGATTCTGAAGACATTTCATAGAGATCTTTCCTGAACAAGGAAGAATTGTACTGTTACTTGTGCATTACTAATCTGGATAATAAAGAAAAACAGAAACAACTAAAATGCTTGAGATTAAAGTTAGAGCTAACATTTAGTTACACAATAAGTGTAAAATATTCTTAATATGGATCATCAAAAATGTTGCAAATTTGCTAGGAGTTAAGTGAAAGGTGTTTAAGAAAAGAAAAGCTGCTTTTTAACTTTAAAAGAAAAAAGTGGCAAATAGAGGAGATTTTTGTCATTTTCTGAAATGACATTTATGCTGTTGAGTAACGAATGAAAATCCAAACGTATGGGCAGAAATGGTTGATAATTTTATTTTCCAGTTTTTTTACCACCCTGCATAAATTCTAATGCGTTTTTATTTGTTTTACAAAAATCTCATGCACTATTTATTACTAGTGATTAACAGCTTGACCTACTAATTTGTAACACCCTGTATTAAAAGCGACTGTTTATTATGCTAGTGACATATCTTATTGTTAGGTATAGTGTTTGAAAAGTAAAAATGACAGGTACTTCTAGCACTATAAGCAATTCACATATAGGGACATTTTTATGTAATTTTCTACAAAATGGTACTGAGAAAGTATAAAATTAAAAAAACTTGATGTACGTACTCATCAGGAACAATAACACAAGTGACAACAAAACTTATTTTTTTAAAATGTTTAACTTTTAATTTTTAAAAATAGACGTATAGGATGTAGATATCCTATCACCCTATCTTGGCACTCTTTATTCTACTGGAATTGAATACATATTTGTAATTCTTTTTTATTTAAATTCTTGTTCAAACAATTTGGAGGAAAAAAAAATAAGAAAATCCTCATTCATAATGGCACGAGTAAACAGTAACACCTTTAGAGTTTAAATATATTATTGCTGCAATTTATTACGATATTGATGATATATTTTTTGTATAAGATGCCCCGAAGAGAATATTCCACATTTCAAAGGTATGGAGGAGTTTTTGGGGTAACCAAGTATCAATATAAAACGTAGAGGTTACTAAGAGTTCCTTAAATTATCTTTTTTCTTTACCATATTTTTTTGTTGGTAGAAATTTTGAAACGCCATTCAAGCTGCCCTTGAAGTGTGGTCCATATTCACTTCCAGACACCGTGTATATATGCTGTTACAAATATTTGATTCCATGATGATACTAAATAGAAATTCGCACTTAAAATATTTTATATTGAATCACTTTAGACCAATTAAACCAATAAATTCATTGTACACTATTTCTGAAAGAAAAAATTAACTCAAAAGTTAAACAAATTGAAAATTGAACAATGTCTAGAAACAGACTGTTTGAAATTTGAGGACCACACTATATTTAAAAATGGGGGATGGTTTTTGTGCCAGATGACCCAAAACTTGAAATTAAATGCTTATTTTGGCTAGAAATTATAATGTAAACACTATTATGCTGTTTTAGTTTAATTGATTTAACAATAAATACAAAAGTTTTGACCTTGATACCTACATATTTTAACTAAAATATCATACAAGTGTTTAAAATGTAAATTTAAATGGAAATAAACAAAAAATATATTGCATTTAAATTTTGAAAATTGTGCCGCTATTGTTAAACCAGAATTCATAATTACATACTATGATGTTAGCACTTATTACAAATTATCTATAAGGGTGAAAAATTTCTGAATTGTCAGTTTAGACTTCTTGACATTTGAAGAAAATGTACAGGACAAAGCAATATAATATATTTATGGCTTGAGTCACTGTAGATAATTCATAAACAAAAAAATGTTTTGATTAGATTGAGCACAACTTGATATGGTTTTTGTTAAGTGTATGTACATATCCAGATATTGTTTAAATTATTTCCAAACAAATATCAGTTAAATTAATTAAAAAGTAAAATAATTCAACTTATCATGAATTAACTGATATAGACTAAGAGCTGGATTGGAAAATTTTCCTAATAATTTTAGGCACCGTAAGAGTCTATGACTTAAATACTACAACCTAAAGGAAAACATTTGAGCACTATGCCGTCAATTCTCCGTGGCACATGGTTTGTTAGCGGAAAATCAAACTTTCCAATTTTGGACCGGGTAAATTCATTAAATAGAAATTGACGGCATTTCGACCCAAGACAGATATTAGAAAAATAAGACATAAAAACCTTATGCCGTACAAAAAAAAGGTTCTGGAAAGAATAAAAAATTTTCATTTTCCAAATATTTTCACTAATGTAAAAATTATAGAAAACTGTACGGCGTACCAAATTTTAAATAAAGATATTTGTTCGAAAGTTATATTTTACTAAACCGTACGCCCGTACGAATGTACTGGCATTGCAAATTTAATGAATAGTCCAGGTATGTAACTGGAAGACAGCAATTGGAAAGTTGTAGAAAGATAATTTAGTGTATTATAAATTTGATATTTCACACTAAACTGTAAGTTCAATATAATTTACTAGGATGTCCTGAAGCTGAATTTAAACTGTGACAATGAGACATATCACAAATAAATAACTTAAATTTAAAATAAGCAAAATTTAATAAGAAAAATTGAAGAGGTTTTAATGATTAAGTTATACAAGTAATGAGTTCGTATGCAATTGGAAGTACAATAAATAATTATGTAAAAATGAATACATATAGTTTTTGCATTTGAATCATATTAATCATAAATTTGCTAATTAATTTAGTAATTTATGATATTAATGTATGAAATAGTTAAACTATTACTTTTTTTTTCTTATAAAGAATATGAAAAAAATAGAATGGTCTATTTTCAACTTTATAGGATCATATTTTTCTTATTTGATAGACTATTATTAGGTATAGGTACCACATAAATGTAAAATCAAACAAAAATATGAACTAAGTCTAATTATGTGGGTTCTGTGGGCAGATACCCTGGGGATAGTGTATTTAAATAAAGGGTGTGTGTGAAAATGTTTTTTCTTGAAGGGCAATGTTATATAAAGTTTATTATTAAGCTAATATTTTCCTGGGTTTTGATATCTTAAAAATAAATGTTCGTTGCCAATATAATAATATAAGAAATACTTACCCAGTTTCAAATAAAAATTAACATTTCAAAACACAACTGCGTCATTTACATCACAAAGGACTTAATCTGACGTCACTTGTAATTATTCCACAAAAAAACACTTATTTTAAAAAACGTCGAGTTGTTTAATTTTTTCTTAATTATATTTAATGCTTAATATCATCATCAAAGTTCTAATAGTTTAAACAAAAATGAAAGACAACTAGTAAATACTATTTATATGGCAGCTCCAAGCACAACAAACTGTCAAATATTTCAATAGGCAACTATCAGCTGATTTGACCAGGGGCAAGGACAAAAACAGCAGCCTGTCATGCGGTGTTGCCAGATGTACATCAATTATTAATTTACTTGTGAACTGGTCTCATATTCGTTTGCATTGAAAAATTCGAAACTCCTAACATAAGTTGACTTTATTTAAAAATTTTATATTTTATTTCTAATTAAATATAATTAAATATAATATAGTATATGAATGCGTTCATTACCAAAGCAAATTATCTCTCCAGAAAAATAGTTGTTAACATAGTCGGATCAAATGACTTGTTCGATTTGAATATAGTGTACAGAATGTGTGTTAATATTTTATTATTTATAGCATTTTACTATTTCTTTTTGGGATACATACTAATAAGTATTTTATGTACCGCTATAACGTTTTATGTGCTTTCTTTATTGTACAAATATTTCCGCCAGAGAGCAAACGCTTGGTCTGAATTACCAATAGAAATATAGGAAATCATTTCCTCATTAAACGCACTCTTTAAACAACAATCACAAAACCTGTCTTTAGATTTAAAAAAAATCAAGATATTTGGCAACTTTGCCTACTTTTAGTCCTAAGAATTCCCAGAATAGAATAATGTCATTGTGACATTATGGCATGGAATGTGAATATTTACTATTGACAGCTAATTTTAGTAAACAAAATGCGTTTAACGTTATTCGTTTTATTTTGTGTAGTGAGTAAAAATGCATTTGCAAAACAGCCTAATATTTTATTTATTATAATAGACGATTTAAAACCAGCTATACGTAGTTTTGGATATAAAAATGCGTATACTCCAAATATTGACGCTCTTGCAGAAAAAAGTTTTTTATTCACTAAAGCTTTCGCTCAAGTAAGTTTGCTATATACCTATTGCAAGTATATTTTTAATGTTAAAATTCGTTAATGGTGTACATAAGTATATACTTTGACTATATACACACAGTGTATATAGTCAAGGGTATATATTATGCCGGACTTTAAATTTCTTAGAAAATAGCTTTGTTCCTACTGAATTATTCTACAAACAGTTTCCAACAGTCAGACCCAATTGGATTTGATTCGAAATTATGAATTTTGAGCCTTATGTAACCATTACATCGGAATGAGCATGCGTCTGATTTTTAGAAACTATTTTGAACAAAGTGACTAGTTTTTTCTATGCAATTTCAAAATTTATCTGGCCTGCTTTCGATTTAAGACAAATAAATTGCCGCATTCCTTTCATGTACATAAAGCCCTATGCCCTTGAAAATGGAATACCTAGGTACTCCATTTTTGAAAAAGTGACCAAGGTAGTTATTGGTAGTTATATGAAAAGAACACCGGAGGTACTAAAATAAGTACAAATTAAAAGTTACAGCAAATCTCGTTTTCGACATGGCATATAAAAAATAGGGTTGCTTTCCGTTTACCGTTGTCTCAGAAATCAGTCTAGGCGTCTAGGCTATAGGCCAGGGGTCGGCCAGTAATTTTAGGTGGGGTCCGGATACTTTTGAAATTTTTTAACGAGGTCCAGAAAAAAATTCATATTTCTTACTAATTTTTTATTTTTATTTGCACTCAAATTTAATCTGCTTACTAACCATTAAGAACTCAAATCAGTCACAATTATAAAATACTAGAAAAAATGATAAGGGTGGCACTCAAACGTAAAAAATATTTTTTAAATAATTTATTTGAGTAATTTATATTTTCAAAAAATTTTTGGCAGTCCAGTATTTTACCTTCCGCGGTCCGGATCTGGACCGCGGTCCGCCAGTTGCCGACCCTTG